GGGAAGGACGCGGCGTACACACGCGGCAAGATACGTAGACGACGATTAACGAACGGTAATGACTACGATTACGTTTGATGTTGACGCTGACGACGCGCGCCAAGGACAACAACGGACTCTCTCGTGTCTGCTCCGAGCGGCCGGGCAGAGGAGAGTACGAGCGAAGAGGAAAACGGAGCGAGTAGTAAAGCGGACAGAACGCGCACGCACGCACACACACGCTCCGGCGATGTGGTGCTACTCGCGCGCGTCGCGGCCACCGCGGGGCCTTCGGCTCCGCTCGACCCCGGTGCTCGGTCCCGCTCGGCACCGCTCGGCGCGGCTCGACCCAACTCGATTCGACTCACAATCAGCGCGTCTCCGCGCGGCTCCGCGCGGCGCGGACAACGCGTCGCTTCGCCTGCGCTCGCGCGCGAGAGAGAGAACGCGCGTGGTAAGGGGCAGGCGGAGGGAAGCGGGTTGACGCCGAGCGAGTAAACCACCACTGGCGCGGGCGCTCGAAAGAGCGAGCAGGGGCGGAGGTACACGCCAGCCTGGAGCGGATGGATCGCTGATGATGTTAGGACGCTAATTGGAGTACTCGTGGAATCGAATGCAACTCGATAAAAGTGAAGCTGAAGCTACTCTCGTGAACAGATAGCATTGGCTGCGTTCAACGGAGAAATTAATCAGTTAGCGTTTAGTGATTTTTTTTTTAGTATGATTGCTTTCTACACTTAAGATCCAGCAAAGAACTTAAAGGCAAAAACCAATCAAATTAAAGAATCACTAAACGCTAACTGAGTAATTTTCTCTGCTGAACGCAGACATTGATTGTACGGAAACAATCATATCGGTAGTCGAAGGAATCGACAATTCATCAACTCCTTGCGGCGTAGCTGTTTTCTCTAATAGCTTCCTGTTGAACATAAACTTGCAGTAACGTTACATCAATATAATTTCCTGCTCAACAATGTATCTGTTATTATGTATAACATGTTATATTACATTTGTGTTGTTAAATGGGAAATTATAATATTGATATAGTGTTACTGTTAGTTTGGATTTGGCTGACTCAGATCGGGGTATTCATAGTCCGTTCTTATTTCATGACCAAGTAATGTCTTAAGAGATGCTAATACGATTCTGTGACCGGTATTCATAGTCAGTTCTTATTTTAAGACTATTTCAGGTAATTTCTTAAGATATACTAATGCGACTCTCTTGTCCGCATTCATAATAAGGTCTTATATTTAAAGCTTCCTTAAGTTTATCTTTAGATATTCAGTAGCCAATGAAATAATTTATAGAGCATCTGAAGATAAATTTAAGGAAGACTTAAATATAAGGATTGATTATGAATCTGATTGGTTTATGACATCTTAACCCTTAGTATATACGATAAGGTCATTCGTATCTTGCGCATTTCTTTCTTTAAAACGCTAGGAATATTTGATTAAATAATGCCTAGACAACATTACGTCAAAAATGCAGGCATAAGACGTCTTAGATCTGTATTTTGGGAATGATGTTGCCTGGGTGGTTTCTATTCTTTCTTTTTTTTTTCAATACACGACCTTACGAATATATAAGAATCATTTAATAATTTTTGTATACTTCTAAACGTGATGAAAATTAAGTCATGAGAGCCATCATGTATATTAAGGATTAAAATTGTATTTAAGGTTACGTACTTAAGAAGATCTCAAATGTAAGAACCGATAAACATCGTCCTTAATCTTACAGCCTCTGGAACTTAAGAAAAGAATTACTTTCTCAGAATATCAATGTACGCGTGTGAGTGAGAGACAATAAGATCTCTTTATTTCTTAAGAAAGAAAATAACTTTTTTTTCTCTTGTTTCATTGAAACTTTCGCGTTTTGAATTATCATTTGGCACTCGTAACAGCATTGAAACAAACTAGACGGCAACTGCGCGTGGCAGCTTGTTATCGATTATCTTGTAAACACAGATTTAACCCTCCGGAGTTAACAATGAGTTTATTAGACTCGCTCGATTACAAATCTGTGTCAAAAATGTCAAACAATTCAATTTTCTTTGTTACATCTGCAAATTATTTTTATTAAAATATACTTATGATCTATTGATACCAATTAAAAATAATTTAACATCAATGTTATATAATTTCGCACTTCATAACGCAACTGTTATATAATACCATATGTTATTATAGTTAATCATCGAGTGCAAAATTATACATTGATTTATATTACTTATTAATTGTGTCGATTGAGAAGTATTAATTTTTTTATGTCATTCTGGTTCTTTGAAATTAATTAGTATATTTTTTAATTAACATAAATTAAATGGTTTTACTGACTCAGGGTCAGTACTGTATTGCGGATTTGACGTCAATTTTGGAAGGTTAATAACATTTCAATATTCAATCGAGTAATATCTCTTCACAGATCGCCCCAATTCTGTGTTTTTTTTTTCACAAATTAAAAATAGCCTTCCGTTTTGAACGATCGAAGCCTTCATTCACGCCGAAAATGAATGCGCCTTGGCGTTTAAGTAATGTATGTCCGCTACTGAATGGGCGTGCAGCTGCAGTCGCGTCACCCGCTGCGAAACGGCGCATCCGCTCTGCTCGTCGGCTTTATCGCGGCTCCGCGCGTAGACGCGCCGCGTCGCAACGAAACGTACGCGCTCATCGTCAGCTCGTTAAAGCTTGTCCGCTCGGCCCTGCTCGACCCGGCTCGGCATCACTCGGTCGGCCTCGGGCTCGACATGGGCCGTGGCGAGCCGCGCGATGTCCAGCATCAAGCCCGCAATTCGGCTGTTGGGAATCTCTCGGTCGTGATTTCAGGACCGAGGAGGAAAATCGATACAGAGATGCCACGACTAAGGCAACAGTATTCGGGCTACTCCTTAACAAGAACTAAATTCGTATAATTGTAGATATTCTATAACTGTAGTAATCAATAGAATTAAAGGATTATATGATCCAAGCTTTAGGTAAGCTTTAGTTTTAATGCACTTAGTGTTTATTATATGAGCAGGATTAGATGAGCTAAGCTGGGTTTTAATGCACTTACTGTTTATTATTCACTAGCATTAACGTTTATAGAAAGGGAAAGCCATTATAGTGGCACTGAAATAGTATTATATTTTGAGGCAAACATACAATAAAATAATAAATTATAACAAATTTCTTATTCAAGGAAAATTAAGCTGTAAGATTTGCAAAACCTCCGCTCTTTTAAAGATTAAAACTCAGTTTTGGTCATAATAATTTTTTAAACCTATTGATTGAATCTTAATTTTCTTTTACTTTAATGTTTCTACATTAATTCATCGTGCTTATGTACTCTTCATCGCATTACTAATTTATCTTTCTGCTTCTTTCTTAAATATTTTATAATTATAATTTGTTCATCTAATTATCGTACTTATGTACTGTTCGTTAAATTCACCTGATACTCTTGTACTATACAAAGCAGTAATCTGATGTCTAATATATGTGCATTTCTACATTCAATAAACTGTACTATTTTCACATGTTTATCGTTGATAATTAATTATTCAGGTTAGCCATCAAATCAGCCACGCCTATTGTAATATGCTTTTGATATTTTGTCATACACTATACGAGTTGCTTTCAATTTAACTGAACCTATACAGCGTTCAATAAAGCTATTATTATTATTATTATTAATTTAATTCTTAATAATTTGTAGGTGATATAGATACATCATTGAAAATACGATGATGTTTTATTTGATGATCAAATTATCGTTATGGAATGTTGCAGATTAATATCTCGACTATGATTAGCTTGACTAGATACATCGGATACTCCCCGATCAAACTATCATGTCCCATCGGATCAAGTGAACATCATGCGACATCGCACACTCTGCAACATTGCAAATACGATTAATTTTGTTTATTAATAGGCGCGTACTCGCCGCGGCCGACTTCGCGAAGCCGTGGCGACGGCACTCCTTTAGCAACCTTGCCCCATACAATCCCGCTTCATGATTCGCGTTTCTATTAATAGTCGCCTCACTCGTGAAGTATTCAAGGATCTGCCAAAGTAAAGGACTCCGCGAAATCACGCGAGAGTTGTTGCGAAACGAGAACTTATAACTTTATATCTGAGAAAGGCCGTATTGTCAAATTGAAGAACGTATAGGATCGCGAGTCTGAGAAATCAAGTATAAATTCGTAGAATCAAGGATAACTACAATCTAGAAAAAAAAATTTATATATATATACGTGTAAGAAATATAAGGAAAAGTGAAGTTACCATATTTATTTCGAAGACACAAGCGAGAAATAAATGAACAAACTGTCTTGAACTTACACGTGTATAAAAAATGCCTAAATATAAATCAATTTATAAATAAGAAGGAGCATACAACCACTTACGCAAGATGTTTTTTACACAAGTGTATATTTAAAATTTTTAATGTAAAAATTGACCGAAACGTTTACATTAAAAATTTTAAATATATGACTTGTGCAAAAAATATCCTGCGTATGTGACTGTATGCTCCTTCTTATTTATGTTTTATGTTATTGAGCCATATTTATTACATAAAATTACTCTAATAATTATTATAAAATTATAAATCAATCCATTTTTTTTTTCTGGGGTTAAATTTTTTAATTTCAAAGTAAGCAACGTTCATATATATTAAGTATTAATAAATAATAAAATTAAATTTGAGTCCAATTTAATACATTTTGTTCAGTTAAATTGTTTAACTCCATTGTTGTAGTTAAATTAATGACATATCGAGTAAAAGCAGTGACAACATACAGAAATGATTAAGAATAAATCAAATTGAATATAATTGATATTACGAATAATGTATCTATTTGTATGCGGTATACATGCAAGAAATGCAAGGAAAGTGTAAAGTTATCGTGTTTATTTGAACACGTAACACGTGCAAGAAACATAATAAGAAGAATATATATATGTAAATCTAGTACATAGATTTATTTTTATTTAGAAACCATTTTCACGAGAGAGACTTCCCGATGTTCATTACAATCCGGCGTAGGAAATCAATTTTATTCACATCTACGTCGTTGTACGAGTGATTCCAAGGAAATTAATTTTCGAACGCGAGAATTCCAATTCGAAGAAAATTAATTTTCTCCGAAATCAACGTTTTCACAAAGAGCCCATCGCACTGCGTACAATTTGACCGCTTATCTTCATCGTAAATCCCGATGGTCTCGCATGAACTTTTATCTCTCCGTTTCGTCGCATTTCTCCATATACATCCGTCGTCGCGTCGCGTTGCTAATCAGCGCCCAAGTTGAAGTAATATGTCGGCGTATCTCATATCAGTTTCCGCCTGGTCGGCAAATACAAAGAGACAAAGGAAGAAAAGAGAAAATCCTCGTTAGTTACATCTGCCCTTGTCCCCCACCACGAAACATTTCGGATTAATAATACCGCGTCAGACTGACGTGGATGCAGAAGTTGAAAGTGTGCTCTAGCAAGATAAAGTTACCTCCCATCTCCTGAAAACCATTATTGTCAAGCAGGCTTGAAAATTTTAAATTAAAGGAGATGATAAATATAATATCATAATACAAATAAATTATATCTTAACACTTGTGAAGTACTAATCGTTATTAACCGTTTTTTAGATTAATATTATATGTCTTATGTAAATAATAGGATTCCGAAATTTTTTGACTTCATATCCTTTATATTGATAAAATATTTGGTTTCTTTATTTTTATGGTAATTTATTCGCTTAATCTTTTTAGTGAATTAGAAACATTGATACTTCTAATATTTATATATATATATGTGTGTGTGTCTGTGTATTTATTTATATATTTATTTTGACATACAAAATGTCTCCAAAGTATGCCAAATTGATGTACGAACTCATACTTTTTCTAAGGCTTATAATTATTTAAAAAAAGTAACAATAAAAAATTGACAAAAGTTTATCGTCTGAAAAGCTACTGTTTTGTAAATTATAATTTCGTCATTAATAATGAATGTGACTGATTTAATTTATTAATTGTAAATCTTCTCGAAAGATCAACGATTTTAACGTCGAGATAACTGAGAAATCGGCTTTAATTCCGACAGCTTCCAGTAAATCTGTCGACACAAATGCATCGAGAGAGAGTCAGCTTCGTCGAGATGCATCCAGGATGTCTGTGCGACGCGGTAGCGGGTAATGCAGTTTATAATCCTTCGGCATGCAGGTATCATAATCAATAATAGGGAGGGATGTTGCATAGTAGGTGCACGTAGATAGACAATAGCGGCTTTCTCTCGGTTCACTATACTGAGTATCTGATCCAGTATGTGAAGCACAAACGGACAAACCAGATAGGTATGCCTCGATATCATCGTGGATAATGGAAGCACGCGATTCTGTCGTGAATCGTACAATTCGTCCTCTCGACAGCTGAGATATTGTGGACTGTCTAGAGTCGAGCTAAATAGAACTTTTAAGAATAGCGAGTCTCAACTCATGCAAATTCATATAAATTTATGCGGTAAATCGCACTTTTGTACATTAAGAAAGAAATGTTCATTCAACTAAATTAATTAATTTAATTTTGTTTTTATTTTTTCGCTGTGAGGAATGTACGTATTTAAATTAAATGTAATGTATTTGACTTAAATACGAAAAAAATAAAGACAACTAAATAAATTTAGTCAAATAAACAATTTTTTCTCAGTGTAATAACAATTGGATAAAAATATTATATAATTTTATACAAAATATTTCGTAACTAAAAATTAAATTCGGATAAAATAGTTTTACGCAAGATAGAAATATACTTTCTCCGTTTGTTAAATGAATATCACATAAATGTGCATTTGTAAATGCTGTTTTAATAACGTAGACGTATAATGATTATACACGTTACAAATGTTAATTAAATTATATGAGTAAACAGACAGTCTTTGTATCTACATACACCTGATGATAGGCAACCACCGCCGCAGGTATGTATTAACGCATAATGTTCACTAGGGGAAAGGCAATGTCATTAAGTTTCTGCTTCTATTATATTAATTTTCTTCATTAATTAATGATAAAAGTAAAGCGAGAAGGCCAGGTGTAATCTATAAAACATTTTAAATATAATAAAATAAGTTAAAACATATATTCTATTTAGGATTAGAAATACAGAGCGGTCAATTTTTTCGGTTAATATTATATTTCTCTTGTAAAAGATAGAATTTTAAAATTCTTTTCAACGATTACGTTTTACTAAAATGAAATATTTGGTTTTTCATTACTTTATTTTCATAGCAATTTATTTACTTGACCCTTTTAATAAATACGAAGCGTTAGTATTTTTCTTTGTGTTATAACAACAAATTGGCTTCTATTAAAAGGGTACTTGTTTGGGACAGGGATAAATTAATAGGCGTGTTTGGATGAGCGCAAAGCAGGACGGTTAAAATGAAATATATGTATAATATTAGTATTGGCACTTGGAATCGGTCGGCGCTATCGATCGCCGGTTCACGCTTGCGATATCCGCAATGTTGTATGTATAAACAAGATTACCACGCGCACCTCTCGTGATATCCTCGGAGACCACCCCCCGTGGACTTTCATGGAGCTATCTCTATGCAGATTGCGCTATCGCCATTCGCGACCAAAACAACGGCGTCAAGACGCGACATGCCGGAGAGAAACCCGACTAAGTTTAATAAGATTAAGCGGCTAATGCTCGCGAAAGCAGCTTAACAGTGTTGTAAGTAATGCATATTGATCGTCGCTTTAGGTAGTTTGACTACTCGCCCATCGAAACTACCATAATTTGTCGTCGCTCATAAGCAAAGTGTATACATCAAATAGTTTTCAACACTCCGTAAAGTTAGACGTGCGTCTGTTAATGATATATTGTTCGTAGAGATATTTCTTCGGATTTATTTATTGTCATATTTATGATTATTATGTTAAATGATAAAAATAATCAATATCTTTTTTATAGAATAAAAAATAATTTACTTGCGAAGATACTTTACATTACGAAGTAAGTTGATGAACAAGGACATACTTCAATTTTCAAGCTCAATTTTATGAATTAGAGATGTATATTGCACATATTTTTTAATAAAATGGAAAAACTATGAAAAAATTACAGATTTTTCTAATTGTATTTATTTAAAAGTATATAAAAAAAATAATTTTGACTTATTTAAAAATTATTTCAATAAAAAGTAGACACGTTTTTAAAAAATAATTGAAAATTTTTGTTTAAAATATAAAATTATTAAATATTGTTAAGTATAAATGTTGAACTTATTGAACTATTTCATATGTATATAGCATTTATTTTTACGCAAAAATAAATTGCCAATTTTAGTCACTTTTACAGTGATTACATAGACCTGATACTCGTATATTCTTAAACTTTGGACAATAAAATGGACAATGCTTGGAGATCAGTGATAAATGCTTGATGCTGATATTATGAGCGTTCAATGATTTAATTGGCTTATATTTTTAGGCTACAAAATCATGAATATACCGTATAATAACAAGGATTAATTATTAAATTTCGATTTTGCAATGTCGAGCCATTTATCTATTATTGTCGTGCGATTTGACTGTGAAGTATTTGTGTTCCATATATCAAGTTGTATGCCGAAATTCGATTTAACACGATTCTCAATGACGTGTAATATGGGGTTTCGGAAAACCACTGTGATTATTTTAGTCAAGGCGTTCACAACAGGATCCAGAAGATTACCCCCGAATTGTAGATCGAATTTCCTACGAAAGACGAAAGTAAAAAGAAAATTATTACGCGAATGAAATTGGCAAAAACTTATGATATACTTATGTTTGTAAATCGTTCATAAATTAAATTAAACTTGTAAATAAATTTGCGAATTAAATCAAGAGATTACATAAATATTTCGTAGCCATCAGATAAAAGAAGATGCTTGCGATAGTACCAGATGTTGAAAATAAAAGTATCAGTGATATATCTTGATAAACTTCAATTGAAATTTTTACAGGGCGATTATTACCATTTCTCGTGACGGTATATTAAACAGGTGCAGTAGCGAAACAATTTAGTAGATAATAATAATATCCGATATCTGCGCTTATCAAATGCAGATATCGGACAGTGATTATTTACTACATCGTTTCGTTACTACATCTGTTTAATGTGCCGTTATGAAAACAACTCAGTCCTATCATCAATCAATAGAATATAATTTATGATATTCAAAATCGATAAATATTTGATAAATATTTGCGCTCGATTTGATCGCATAAAATCCCTACGCGTCTTTTATGTACAACGAGTAAATAACTGAAAGAAAAAAATGATAGCAATTATCATAATTTAACTATAATTTAGTAATTTTCGATACTAACTATATATTTTTAAAATGAAATTACAAATATATAATTAATATTATTAATATTTTAGCAGCAACTGAGGTGTACTAAAACAAAATGTAAGTCATTTTTTAATTTTTCAAAAGAAAGGAAAAATTTATTTTTTAAAAAACTATTATTTAAAAAATTTTATAAAAAATTACTGTAGTAACTAAAAATATGAGCCATCAGTTTCCGCAAAAATTTTTAAGTACTATACTAACTTTTTAAAAAATTGTGTTCAAAGTTGTTAAAATTTCAAAATGTAAGTTCAAGTAAAAATGTAAACGTTGTAGATCCAAATAAAAATATCAATTGTACAATGGACCTACAACGTTTTAAATTGCAGTACCCATTTTTCCTCCACTTATAACAGCATTAAACATTTAATTTTAACATTTATTTTTCATGGCACGCCTCAACTATAAAAATGGAGCTAATCAGAGTTATTTTACCACGCAATTATAATACAAATATATAATATGAAACATTTTTTTCTCAGTGTACAAAATGAAACACAAGAAATACTTATCAGACATTAGAGAACTTTATGGAATCGAGAAGTAAGTAGTATTTATTTAGATCAATCACCACCACGACGTTGACATCAAGGTTGTGTAAACGACCATACACATTACCTTTTCTCTTATATAGTAAATGCTTAAGATTATAATCGTAATTAAACTGAAAATTATAAAAATATAATTTTGAGATATATAAATCTTCTATAAATTGTAGAGGCTTTTTAATATTAATTAACATATCTGTCTTGTTCTTACGCTTATAACTTCAAATCCCAAATTCATATCCATCGTCAAAAGTAAGTCCTTATATTTTGCAGTTACATGTTGGGTGCGCTTTACCAGCGATAAATTTTGTATCCATCCATTCTTGAGGTCGAGATTTCCCTTGAGTTTTCCAGTCTAAAAGTATTATTTCCAAATATAATCGGAATAAAATATTATCTTAACTATCATTAGTGCCATAGAAAGATAAACTTCGATTTATCATTTTTTACAAAATTTAACAAAAGTCTTTGTGGGAATAAAGATTTTATTATTAGTTTCATTTTTACATACCAAATGTGGGAAAATATGTGTAGAAACGTTGGGGAGTTGCATAGGATCCATTTCATTGTTCAAAATGAGTTGACGTACGACAGGCAATAGAGTATCAACTACTTTATCAAGATTCGCTCTTATTTCTACATTTTGCCCAGGACTGCATAGTACAAAAATACATGTTCGTTGAACGCTTCATTTACAATTTATTTAAATGAAACCACAGTATGTAATTTTCGAAGTGCGTATATATATTAATTACGTAAAAATTTTGCATATATATACGTATATATATAGGTATATAAAACGTATATAAAAACTTCAAATTTTATTTCTTGAATATTTGGCGCATAGGATTTTTTTAGTTATCACAAAGTTAACTGCAAATTTCAATAACCCTTTATTCGCGTGGGGTGCCCAGTCTTAGAAATTCGTTAAATGTATGAATACTATTTATGCATATTATATTTAGCGCAAATTGTTTTTTAAATTAAATAAATATTTTTAATTAAATAAGTATTTATCTCTTTATCTAAAGGATGTTATCAATCTTAATTTATCAAAGAGAACAATAAAAATTGAGATATAATATTGGTGTGTCAGAAACATCTCATGTAATTACATCGCGAGTAATTATGTTAAAAATTCTGTGCAAGTAATGTATAAAGTTAAAGGTATACATGAGAAAGAAAAGTTTTATTCTTTGTAAAATGCAATACGAAGATTTAATTACAGAATAACAAAAGTAAAATCATGAAAAATTATGAGAATATGAACTTACTCATTGCTTTCTTCGATAGTAAGAGGTGTACTATGCACTATGCACACTATGATCCCGAGGAAGAAAGTCAATTGTATTTGACTAGCCATGATAGCGGTAACAATTCAATTTCCGAAGATATGACGGTTTCCTCAATATTTATTCATTTTCTGACATCTGATTACGTCTTATCGATTTGATAATATTCGAAGCAGTTAGATATCACGAAATCATTTAATGACAATCTAAAGATCTTTCTACTAATATAACAGCATTACGAAAAACGATTGCAGTGTCAAAATTGTGATACATGTAGTTAAAGGATTTTTTTACAAAAACTAAACTAGTCTAAGAAGTTAAAAAAGGATACAACTTTCACTTTTTCGCGACCATTCGGAGATCGTTTTATTTTTATATTTTCTTACGTATTTTTTTTTATGGAAACCGAAAATTATCATAAGAAAATATAGAAATAAAACGATCTCTAAAGGGTCATAAAAAAAGTTATATTCTCCTTTCAAGAAACTTTTTATCTTCAAATTATTCATTGCATTTATAAATATGGATTTTTTTCCGAATATACAATAAATACAAACTTTTAAGCTCTTATATAATCTTCATTTTAAAAAAATTCTCATTATATTTTTTAATAACAGATTCATATTGACTTAATGTGTCGAACAATATCTGACTAATCAATTCAAAGATAATTCCAGGACATTTCAAGTAAAAATCCTGGTTTTTCCAGGTTAATTAATTTTCATCAGTTGATTAATTTTCATTGATTCGCACAAATATTATATGTTTTTTGTGTGTGTATTCAAATTAGAATTCTATATGACGAATTAATTAAAACGCAAATAAATTTGGAAAAATATTATTTAATGTTTTATAAATAATAATGGAATATTTAACACAAACGATAATTTCTCTGCTATATTCTATTTTATAATTGCAGACAATAAATCCAAGTTTTCTATTAGTGACTTGTCTTAATGCATCTTTAAGGGAAGGTTTATATCGAAACACAACTTTTCTTTTTATTAACGTATCACAAACATATCTTTATAAAATTCTTAATTTATTGAAGCTTCGTTAAATTATTAATCTAATTTTCAATGTCCGCACTTGCTTTTAAAGCTTCATCTAAAATGATCATAAAGTTCAGCGTTACCGACATAATTCTTGCGGATATGCGGGAAATAGTTCTTATTTCTTTCTCTTTTCATGATCTAATTTTTTTTTATAAAAGAATAACAAAAATTCCAGGTCAGTCCTGAAATTGTAGGTGTTTTTCAGGATACATTAAATTCAAGGATAATGCCAAAATTTAAAGGATATTCAAGGATCCCTGAGGTTGCTCTCATAAATAAATGTACAAACATTAAAATAATTTAATGTATTTATGAACGTACAATATAAATTATACAACATATCGTATTAAGAAATTAATATTTGTGAATATTGATTCATCATTTCATCATATGTTTTAAATTTTTTGAGAAATTTGTTCATTTTGTTGAGGTACGCTTGAATTGCTTTTGCCCCTTCGTTTTGAATAACTTTCACAAGGGTGTTCTTAAAGAACGGAATTACGATTTTTACAATTAATGTTTTTATGCGATCTACATCTCCGTTCCTATTTTTGATTGTGACGTTAATGCCACTGCAATAATATACCGCATAATTGAGTAATTAAGTTCAGAATAAAATTTCTTCATAAATAAACAAAAATATATCATGAAAAAAACATAGATTCTACACAATATAATTTGTGATTAACAATACCTTGGAAGTTGTAAGTCAAACTCGTCGAGAAATAAAGAGGTATCCGATACGTTAAATGAGACGCAAAATTTAGCGCGTACATTTTTTGTTAAAGCTAAAATGCGGCCATCATAATGGAAAAAAAACACTTTTATAGCGAAATCGTACAATACCTGAATATAAAAACAATTATTTTTAAGACAGAATATTATAATTACATGTAGTATATATATATATATATACAACTAAATGCTTACAATTAATTTATAATTTCATTTAGCAAGCTTCTTAAAGAAACGAGAGAATGGAGAAATTTTTTACCTCTAATTGTTTAAATTCGAAGCCAATATTCAGTTTTAATAATTTATTTTTGTAATTCATAGTAGCGTCGCCATAACGCTTCAAGTTGGACAAATGTTTCAATATTCCAGAGTGCAAAGAGAGGTCAGCTTTGAATGGAATTGGTTCGGCATGTTTTGAAGTTTGTGGAAAATTCTGGCATAAAATTAAAATAAATATATTAAGTCTTAATAAAATTGATATATAATTTCGTTATCGTGATCGAGTTAAACACGTTTTATCATGTAGCAAACCTAACGCGAAATCAAGTGGCGATGTGGATAGGTAAGCAAGACGTATAAGATTTCGTTGTTTATTATCACAGCTGCATTATCTCCATGCATGCTTCAAAATAATAAAATGTAACGCGAAACCAAAAACAATGTATACACCTTATCGATAATTTTTAATAAACATGTCTTTCCTGCAGTGGCGCGATTACAGATGATTTTATGCAATTTCAAATTAAGTAATTAATTTGCTTTTAAATGTGACATTACTTTTCAAGCGAGTAAAAACTCTATTCAATTATATATATAAATGAATTAATTATACTTCTATCAAATAGTCCAAAATATATATAAAGGTGCTTGCAAACGTTAAAATTGTTAACCTTTCGGAGTCGACGGAAAAATTTTTAACGCGGTTACTGACGTTGAGTTTGTAAGACCTATTTATTTTATCTACGTTACTTAAAAGGCATTAATTAATTTCAAGGAAATAGACTGACGTAACAGAATGACGATAAGAATAATCTAAATTTGTAGGTGTAGCATAAAGAAAATTGAATTCTGTAATATATTTTTGATAAACAGATATATATTTTTGATAACAGATTTATAAATAAGTGAGCTCCAACTATACCTATTATTAGCTCTGAAGGATTAATACAAATGTTAATATTAATAAGGAAACTTACAGACAGTATAAATTATTCCAGTAATATTGCAAAAACTTTGCAACGTTTCATAAATATATTACAAATATTATTGTAAGCTTCTGTGCTATATGGGTTGAAGAGAGAGAGAGAGAGAGAGAGAGAGAGAGTATACAAAAAATATTATAAAATATTATTTAATCTTCTAAAAAATACTTTACTCCTTTAATCCTCAATTCTCACGAAAAGCCTTCGAAATATATTCTCTTTATTTGAGATAAAGAGGAACTCATTCAATTTCATGGTAGTACCGTAAGATAAATGACTTAATTCGCGCTCGACGTGATACGGGAAGAGCATTTGCACTGAACGGCGGCTTTGAACTTCAGCTCGAACTCGCCTTCTACCTCGGTTTCTACCGAGTGAAACCTTGATTTCACTCTCTCGTTCAAGTTCAAAGTTATTGCGCGTCAGCCTTCGAAGCGTCAAAAATGAGATCAACGAAAACGAGGCGAGGGTTGACCTCGGCGTTCGACCGTGATCCACCACGGTCCAAGGTCAACGCTCGAAAGTGTCATCCCGGGATTCACTCTCGCTCTCGTCCAAGGCCCAACTTTTCGGTTTCGCTTTCTACGGTCCCGAGGTTAAACAGTGCGCTCGCTTTCGTATCGCGGCCCGCTGACCTCGAATCCCAGCTCTGACCCCGAAACCCAGCTTTCTCTTGATTTTCGAGGCAACCTCTCGCGATTGTGAGGGAACGTGCACGCGTTTACTGTAATAACGGACTCTTACGTAATTGGTTTCTCGATGGCATTACTCGATTCACGCTGAATTCAAACTTACAGTGCATTACTTGAACCTTTGTGAAGACCTGTTGTAATGTGTTACGACAAATATTTGTTGTTTAATTAAACATAATTAGTAATAAATAATTAAATAAGCTCTCTCACGATTTAACTGTTTCTTTTATTTTATAAATTGATTAAGAACGTTACGTACCACCCACAATTTTTTCGTAGTTGGTGGGAGATCGAGGGGGTCCAGGCCATAATCGACAATAAATTGCGAAATTTGATGAATAGAACGATCTATAAGACCATTTAGATTAGCACTCGCAAATCTGTTGTCAGCAACATTCCTATAATTACTAAAAATTTATGTTTATCTTGATTTAAGGTAGATCCTATTTTAAATAATATTAAAAAGAAGTTAAATTGAAAAATGAAACAAGCTTTACATAATGAAATAAAAGAATTTACAAACAAAGTATAATTAATTATTCTATGTAACGTACATTTAGAAGATATTTCTAAGATTTAAAATAGATTCTTTTAAATTGACATCGAAAAATTAAAAATAAAGTTAAAATAATAACATAGAAAAGTTAAAATAGTAATTTTTAATATGAGTAAAATGTTATCGCACACTTACAAAGTTTCTAACTCGGCCGAGATCAAAGGAATAAATATCAGAACGTAAACGAGCTTCATGGTCATTGTAACGAGAGTATCTCAAATTCCTATTAAAACTTCGCTTTTATAAATTTCTCAAATAAATTTGAGAGGGATTATTAGATTAAGTCCCACTCTTTCTATTAATCTTGTTGATGATCATCAGTCAAAATTATATATTTAGATTACGTTTTTATCGCACGTCAGCCATCAAGCTAATGATGAAAAATAAAGAATAAGAGGAAAAATAAACAATATTATCAGAAATACTTAAAGTATAAAATGAAAATATAAATCATGTTAAGCAATAAAAAAAGAAGCATACATTACGTAGCGCAATGCCATGTATTTAAAAAATCTTTCGTTACCGATTTAATTAATGGTCAAACTATTAAATGTCCAATACTGTCGAATCTTGATTATCAAATTGTCCGATTTGCTATATAAGAATTACAATAATTTTTTTATTGTTATGTCGGAGAATCACAATTTTATGAAAAATAATGTCACTTATATAAAGTCAAACAAGCTGTGCGAATCATGAGTAATATATTGTATTATTATTTATATCCGATTTACCATATTATTATTAAATTGTCCAATTTAGTATTTAAAACAAATATAATGTGAGAAAATTGGTCAACATTAAAAGTTTTTTAAAAATTAATTTAAACTTAATCAAAAGAACGAGACTTCTTACAGAGATGTTGATGGTTCGAGCAATAGACACGTAATAAGTTATAAAACAAATCGCACAAAGAGAGAAAAACAAAACATCAAGAATTTACGTCTCCTTGTAAATAAATTAACATATAACGGGTCTGACGATAACGTGTCATTTTGTAAATTCAAATCTCGTATCTGTTTTTTTATGTAAATCATCTCTGATAACAATCTTTTATTTAAAATTTTATCTTCATCTATAATATTTTAACATTGTCCCAATGAAAATCGTGTAATTATTCAATTCTATGCTTTGTGATAACCGAAGACTGAGTCGTGTTCCAATTAATATGATTTCTGTGTTCAGAGATGCGCGTTTTTAAACATCTACTCGTTTGGCCAACGTATGACGCGTCACAATCCTTACAATCAATTTTATAAATCACGTTGGAATGAGGCAACGTTGGAAGAGTATCTTTTTGTATCTTAATAAAAACTATTTAACTTATTAATACCTATATATGTCATTCGTACTAAATATTACGTATGCAATATTAATAGATTTAAATGCGACAAGTTTTCTTATATAGTTAATATCGCAAAGACGCTCATTAATAAGTTTTTTAATTATTGTTGTTAGTTGATTTTTTAAAAATTGTTTAATATGCAAAAACGCTCGTTAAAAATACAAGTTCGTTATAACATACAAGATGGTTATCATTAATGTTACCTATATTCTCTTGCAGTTACTCTATTTACTTCCTTTGACACTGAAATAATTCAGTTGTTACATTCAAAATTGACTTTGATCGTTGTGTAGACACACACAATTTCCAGACTAAGATTAATTTAATATAATTTAAATTCCTTGAATTATATGTTCGAAATTAAATTTATTGTATTGATTTAACACACCTGTGTTTATTTGCAATGACTTACAAGAATGCGTGCAAAAAAGTTTATGTAAAATTCGATAACCAAAGATTTTAAATATTATATGACATATGGCGCTACGTAAATCCTGCGGGTGATGTATGCTCCTTTTATTGCTTGCATTTATTAACCACTTTTTATGTATTTACATTTATAAATCATATCGCGATACAAAACGTAGCTTTCCTGCGTTTTATATCGATATATGAAATAGCAATACATATATCGTCTGATCTGAATATTATCTAATCTGAATATCACGTAAACATGGAGTGTTAATCGTTAAAGCAAAATAGCAGAATTGGAAAGTAACGCGTTACTTGTAACTTGTAACACCGTTACGTTATCGTTAATTTATTCGTTTTTGGTAACGATCGTTACTTACTTTCGTATATAATGGTAACATCGTTACATTTTTACTCTAATAATAGTAACGAATTTATTTTTATTGTTACTTTAATTTCCAATTATCTTTATATCTTCAGTGGAATGCATTATTTTTCATTAGATAAAAATATTTCATTTAAATAGAAATTTTAGTATTGAAAAGTATTTTGTATTTTATATCTTAAACTGTATTCTAATAGTCATTTTGAATACTGAAAATCTATAGTAATGTGAATTATAAATTTTCAGTATTGACAATGAATATTGGAATACATTTTTAATAAAGAATACATTTTAACGATATTAAAATAAACGTTTTAGTATCTTAAGACCATCTTAGATATTGTTTAAGATGATCTTGAAATAGGAACAGATATATAACAATACCGGCCATTATTTCTATTTAACGATCAGGTAAAGTCGATCTCTACCCAAAGATTTTTCAACATTCGTTATCGACGCAGAATCGACTTCGTTACGTGGCGCTCTCTATATACAGTAAAATGTATTCAATTAATATAAAACATTGCAAGATTTAATTAAATTAATATTTCATGAATTCCATTTTTTTAATCATCATTCGATTTCGACAAGGAATTGAAATACAAGTTGCATCATAGTTTCACGAATACTAATTTAAAAAATTCAAAGAAATTTTTTATTTAAATTTTATTATTTTTGATTTTATTAAAAAGTTTTACAATTTACATAGCAAAATATTATAGAAATAAAAAGTAATAAATATGAAAATCAAATTAGTGATATTGAAATCATTACATATGTTAATGACTATACATATAATAATTTAAACAATAAGATGATAGAATAGAAATTAAATAATCTTCTAACTCATAGAAATTTAATTAGTTTCACAATATAAAAATGTTTTGATTAATCTTTATCAAAATATAAAAACTTTAAGTGTGACGTTATTAAACATTTTTACAAAGTTAGAATATCATTTAATTTCTTACTTCTGTCACCTTACTGTTTAAATTATTATATGTATATTTATTTTCATAATTTTTATATCATTCATTCATCATATTTATTATTTCTAATTCCTAGATTATTTTGCAATAAAAACTGTATAGGTGTCGTAGATATTTACCAGAGCAAGCAGAATATATAAATTAATTTTTTGCTAAATGACTCGTTTCTTAATACCGGAAACAACAATCGACGAAATGAATGGTAATTTTGTTATCGTTTATATCTTAGATATTATTCAAAATTTGTTAAAAACACTTTTTATCTTTTTCTACATATCTATTATTTTTATCAACTTTTAAATTCCTGGCACTGCGACGCACCGGGAAGTAGTCACGAGTTGAAAAACAAACTTGTTTGTCGGCCCTGGCGAATGACGTCCTCGACGGATTGTTTACGATGGACCAATCGCAGTTCGAGGAAATGTGGGTGTATATCGTGACGTGTATCTTTACTACTACGCTTTAATTACGAAATCTGATGCGTAAGAGCGTGCGCACATCACGATTATACGTCGACACAACTAAAAACAATTGTAAAGCCTCGTCTAGATAAGTCGTGGCACGCAAAAAGCATTCGCACTCGCATTCGCGACAGCCAATCGAAAGCGTCAATAATATTAATGACAGCTTTTAATTCGTTATCGCCAATGCGTTTTGCATGTTGCGACTTATCTGTTATATATTGACCGCATTAATAGAACGGCACTTCTCTATTCGATTACATCGTCACCTCGCTCTGCACTATCATATTTCAATAACAGAAAGATATTATTATATAATATATAGTGTACTTACTTAAAAGCTGTTTAATCAGTATCTTGTTAATTTCTTACTTTTAAAACTTTATTTTAATAAAACTCTAAGTACTAACATTGAATTTTAATGGAATGATATTTTCTCAGAAGCAATAAGATAATAATACTTCGTATTAAATTAAAATCTTAATAAAAATTAATATGACAATCTTGCGTTTCGCGGGTTTTCTCCGTGTTCAGATCCATTCTTGGAATGCCAACGTTTCGTGAACCTTGCAGTTCACTTCATCAGGGCGAGGAGCAGCTCCTCGCCCTGATGAAGTGAACTGCAAGGTTCACGAAACGTTGGGATTCCAAGCAAG